CCAAAACGAAGTATGTGCAATTTCACGTGTCAGGTATGAAGCACCCTTTTCACAAATGCATGAACATTCGTAACATGTGACAATGTCCTCATTGGACCAATCCCGAAGGATAGGGAAAGGTAGAACGAAGTTACCACATTGCTAAAATTCATTCCAAGAGGCTAGTTCCTTGATGATTGGTTTGGACGAACAAACCACAACAAAATAAAAATGAAAAACAAATCAGGTTATCTCTCATTAGTAATTTTGTTTAATGTCTTTAAATTAGACGCCAGACATGGGCTACCTCCCATGTAGCTATCTCTCTTTAATACCTTTGAATCAGACAAGGAGCTAGCTACTTAAGCATCACCCACATGAGGTAGTGAGTCATTTCCTAGAAGCTTCGAGACATCGTCCACTGAAAAAAGTCCTGGAAATTCGATGTGGATAGCGCATTCGCGGTACTGCGCTTCGTCAGTGCCGAACTTAGTTGTCCTTCCCTGACCTAGCGCCGCTCAGTCTCAACCCTAAAATAGGCTTCAAAACTTTTCATCAAAGTGTGCATATTCTCCCACTAATTCTGGCAATAGGTGCCCAACTCATTCACTTTTGTTAAGAGAGTTATTTGATTAGTTTCCAATCGAGGCAGACGAGTGAGAATGTCCACGCTATTATCAGGTTGTAGCGGTCCAAGTACTGTTGCGATCAAGGAGAATCCTTGTATTCTGATGGTATGTACAGCCTCGTCCATCAATCAAGTGAGCTGGGTTTAGCGCCTTTATTCCATTACCTAAAAGGAGGGCATGTGGAAGATTTAAGATCCACGTTGTAACTAGTAGTATGGTTTTGGAGTGACTAGGTGGGCTGGGGTGCGGATGAGTGTTTTGATTTCACTGCACCTATCAACAAAGGCTATTCATGTGTAGCTAGATTCGCATGAACCCTCCCATGAACAGCTGCATACGCGCGAAGTCACTCAGTCGAGAAAAGGTTTTTGCGAGAAGCCACCCTGGGTGAAGCTAGCGGTGTTCAACAATAACATGGAATAATGTCATATCCAAGGCAAGTTTCTGATCTCTCCCATCCATGGGGTGGCTGAAAAGAGTGATTCGCTGACTCGTTCCAACTACAACATCCCGATCGACTACCAAGCCTACTACTTGAGCACAATCATTATCTAGTCTAGTCTTTAGGGTTTTGTGAAATTGACAGCATGGAAAAATGAAACTACCAGAAATCACAAGAAATAAATGATACTCGGGACATTGCCTCTCTCGCCCTAACTGTCGCGCATAACATGCAATTGGCTGGTAAATACATTTATGGTGTTTGAGCTGTGGAGGACACTAATGTGGGGATAGGTGAAATGGTGATGTCTCACGGCCCCCCTTCTAGCTAATCCATCGACGCGAGGTCACATAATTGGGTTCCTTGACTAAACATAAGGTTTGCCCCTCTAAATCGGTTCCACCCGTCAATATGGGGTCAAAAAGCCAAAATAAATTATTTTACTAGCCACTAGAAAAGAAACTGAATTCTTGAGAACCCCTCCCATGCTCCTAACACGTCGAGGTACTGCAGAAGAAAAAATGCAAAATTTGATCCAATTTATCGTAATCGATTAGTTAACATGTTGGTTAACTGTATTCTAAAACACATAAAAAATCATTGGCTTATCAAGTTATCTATCGGGCCGTGAAAAGATTCAACAAAAGACAGAAACAAATCCACGATCTAATAAAGCAAGGGCAATGCTTTTAGCCAAAAAGCATCAATTTGGTGAGTACTTAGCAAAGGGATGGTCAGCTCAACTTAGGCTTAGTCTAAATCATCGTTCCATGAAATAACACATGCAACATGCATTCACATTAAGCAAACTAATAATTAAAGCATTAGTAACTCTAATTGAGCACAAACAAACCATAGATTAATATATTCCCTTAATTACATGTTAACCCTAAGTTAGAGTTCCAGTGACTAGACCCCAAGTAGAACAAAAAAAAAAAAGGAAGAAAGTCGTCAACAAGATCTCTAAGTGCTGGAAAATTCTTCTTAATGTCTCCTTCTTTTTCTCTTCTTCTCTAGCAGCTCACTTCTCTCTCTGTTTTTCATTATCTAGGGTTCAATCTTTCTATAGTCTCTCATTTTAGTAAATGAGGCCCCCACTATTTATAGATCATAAAATATGGACTAGATCACATCCTAATAGGGGAGTTCACGACTGTGATCTTAATGCGGCATTGCTTTGAGATGCTCTAGATATGCGTTCACGAGCTGGAGTTCACGTCCATGATATGGAACTCTTGTCATGATATTTCTCGTGGTCTCCTAAATATAGGACCGCAAAGCTGTCTATGACACCTTATGTCTTCTGCATGCGCTGCCTCCCAAAGATCTCGGCCTTGCATATGAGATCTTGGTCGTGATCACCTGCCTTGCCCAAGATCTAATTCGTGGCCTGGTTATCCTCGTCGTGATCTCTAGATTTTGCATGCAAACTCGAATGACCTTTTTCCCCACACTACTCGACCCCTTTATTCTTCGTCGTAAGCATTTGAAACTCATGATACCAACTATTATTTCACACTCTAATGCAAGGAAGCAACCTAGACTACATATTAAGTTCAAACGACCTATCAAGGCTCATAATGACACGGAAACACCTAATATTAGGAGAGCAAATAACATCTATTTAGGTGCTATATATCAAGTAAGTACTCTCGGTTTGCACCTTAGGCGAAAAAATACTACACAAAAACTAATTAATTGACTAATAGTCCTTACTCTAGCAGCCACTTGACATGCTTGATAATATGATTGGTAATGACAAAAGATGTTGTGATGATATTTGCATTATTGCATTGCTTTTGGCAGTAAATCAAGGAGTTGTATGAATGTCAAATTATGCTACTACAACTTATTATGTGTTATATGTAGGGGCATAATTAAGGGTTGGTTGGATTTTGGTTTCAAATTGATTTATTCGTTTATGAACGAGTTGATACAATTGTGATTCATTATCCACTCACATTATTCTTCGGGTTAGGTTGGGTGGGTGGTGAATGGATGTGATTGAAATTGTGGATGAACACACAAAACAATTCTACGACCAAGCATTAGGAAAGTTAATTGATATTTATAATAAATTTCTCACAAATACTGAAATAAGGAAGAAATTAACAATTTGGACACTTCCCAATTTGTCTCATGTGGAACCGTCGATACTTGGGATATGTAAAGTCTTTACGAGGTACTCATACCAAATTTTCAGTTGGCCACTTTAAATAATTATTTTTTTTACAATGAAAACAAAGTCACTAACCACATGTTTCTATAGACCAAAGGTCTTTACGTCTGGGGATTTCAATTCTTTGGCAGAGGTATCAAATCTTCCATTACTCTATCAACCAATTATGTAGAGAAAATTGTCGCTCTTTATGACTTTGATACAATGAACTGTTTATAATTATTTGCATCTCAATATCAAGTATGGACATTACACCAATATAAAACCTATAGAAGTTCAGAAATATTACTTATTTTTTACGTGTAGAACTTGATGGTCTGTGTGTGGTGCGGTTATAAAATTTATCCACGATTCACCCACTATCATTAAGTTATATGTTTATGAATCAGAGTCAAAGCGCAGATTAACCATCCAAATGCTCACCCCAGTTAGGGATGGCAATGGGTCGGGTTGGGGCGGGTTTTGTCAAACCCAAACCCATGGGTTTATCCGCCAAAAAAACCAGGGGTAAAACCCGTTGGGTTTGAAAAACTCAAACCCAACCCAACCCGCTGGGTATCCGCGGGTTTACGGGTACCCGTGGGTTTTTGTGGAAACAAATTTACAATAACAATTTTCTTTCAAAATAAAAGTTTAACATCCATTTTCTCATACAAAAAACACCAATCTAGAGCATACAAGCAAACCGCAAATGATCAATACAAATTGTTCAAAATTTAAGATAAACATCTATAAACAATAAGATTAATTGAAAGCTTCTTCCTCGTCAACTAAGTTTCTTCACTCTCCACTTCATAATATCAACTTCATTCTAAACAATTAGAAAGAACAAATTATACATGTCTCCACAAACATAAAGAATATTAGTTGTTTAAGGAAGATATATTACTTAGACTATTAAATATACCGGGAAAGTAATTATATGTGTGGGCGGGTACCCATGGGTCGGGTTTTACCTAAACCCAAACCCAACCCGACCCGGTGAATAGTGTAGCGGGTTTAAACCCGAACCCGGCCCAAAACCCGTCAACACGGATTTTACCCGCGTTGACCGGGTTGGGTCGGGTGGGTATCCGTGGGTTCGGGTTTTGTTGCCATCCCTAACCCCAGTCATACATGCTAGTAGTTTAGTAAATGCTGGATAATATCTATATCATGATATCTTAAATTTATACATGGATGAATAGGCCTAAGATTCTGAATATGAAAATATATACACCGGTACGTAAATAATCAAAATCGTCGTCATTGTACCACACAAACTAGAGATTTTGTCATCTAAAGCACGCATTATTGCACCCTCGCTTTTTGACGGTATCATAATGCAAACCAACCCCCTAGCTGGGCACACTACTGCGTCTGCGAGAACAAGTTACAAATTGGAGTTTGGACTTTTTCTTGTTTTCTTTCTGGCTTGGGCGAATCTTTTTATTTTGGACTTTCCCTTGTTTTCTTTATGGGATGAACGCTTCACTATTTTATTCTGTCCTTTCTTAGCTAAGGCAAGATGTTGATCTGTCGTACAACATTATTGTGTGGTTTATCAGCTGGTTTGGTGGTTCCGGTCATTTTCATTTTGTTTAATATTAGAAAGCTACGCCTTGATTATAATCGGTACCGTATTAATTTAAATATAAAGTTACAGACTTACAGGGGAAAAAAATCAAGCTTCGAACTTTTCAACAGGGCAAGCCGATTCGGCTATTGCCAATTATTCTATTTCTATATAAACTCTCAAATGGGTTACTATACCTCTCATTCTCATCCAAAACCGAAAAGCCACCAGCCTAACTATGGGTGCCACCGACAACCTCTATCATCCCTTCTTCTTTCTTTGCCTTTCAACAGTCTTACTAGCATATCCCCTGGTCAAAGCCTTAGTCAAACATCTTCGTGGTGGCAGAGTTGAAAGTCTCCCTAGTCCGCCGACTCTTCCCGTCATCGGCCACCTCCACCTCATCGGCAAAGTCCTCCCGAAGTCCTTCCAGGCCCTGGCCCAAAAGTACGGCCCACTCATGAGGATCCAGCTGGGCTTCTCCACTTGCGTGGTCGCGTCCAGCGAGGCCGTGGCGAAGGAAATCTTCAAAGCCCAGGACCTCAACTTCTCTTCCAGGCCCGAGTTCGGCTCCTCCGAGCACTTCATCTACCGCGGCTCCAGATTCGTGACCGCCCAGTACGGCGACTACTGGCGCTTCATGAAGAAGCTATCCATGACCAGGCTCCTCTCCGTTCCGCAGCTCCGCCTCTTCGCCGACGTGATCGACGACGAGAAGGTCCGGCTGGTCAACTCGGTGGCGGGTCGTGCCGCCCAAGGCAGCCTCTGCGACCTGAGCAGGGCGCTCACGACGATGACCAACAACACCATCTGCCGGATGGTGATGTCCACGCGCTGCTCCGGCACCGACGCCGACGCCGACGAGATCGAAGGGCTGGTCAAGACTTGTCTGCAGCTCGCCGGGAGGCTTAGCGTGGGTGACATTTTGGGACCTTTTAAGTTTTTGGATTTTTCCGGCACCGGGAAGAAGCTTGTGGGGGCGTTGACCAAGTATGACCGGTTGGTGGAGAGGATCATAAAGGAGCACGAAGAGAAGGCGCTGAAAAACGAGACCGGGGCGAGGATGGACGTTTTGGACATTTTGTTGGAGACTTACAATGACCCAAACGCTGAGCTCCAGCTCTCCAAAAAAGACATCAAGTCCTTCTTGCTCGTAAGTACCATTTTGTCCTCTTCCCAGCGAGCTAGCTATTAGAGTATGTGTAGTACGAGTAGTATTATATTAGAAAGTGAAGTTTTTTTTATTACGTTAGGTAATAAATCACCTAATTCATTCCATTTTTCATTTATTCACGTAATTTTTGTATTATTCACGTCATATTTAGGTTATTCACGTAAGAGAGTTGATTATTCACGCAACCAATACTGTTAGGTCACGCAAACTGATGTTTATTCACGCATATTGTTATTTATTCGCACCGTTGTAAGACAAAATTTTAAGCTTCGAAATATATCAAAATAGATGTCATTCTGTAGATTATGATTAATGCAACCCATTTTTACAGATTAATTGAGAATCCAAGTTTAATTCCATAAATAATATAGCCAATACAAATTGTTAGGGGGTAAAAGTCTGATTTTTCCATTTACGTGAATAACTTACACTCTTACGTGAATAACCACAGTACTACGTGAATAATCACCAAATGGAGTGAATGAATACAATAATACGTAAAAAAAAGTTTTGTCATCTAAAGTGACAAGAAACATTTTCCTTATATTATACTACGTATGAATACTATTATATAATTGATTAGAGCTATATTTCTTATAACGATCATGAAAATTAGATAATTTATAAGGACTGACCAATTATATAACAGTATTTATAGTATAACATAATACTACTCGAACTCTTCGTATTCATTTACACAGGACATATTCTTTGCGGGTACAGACACAACGTCAGCAGCCATGCAGTGGGCCATGGGGGAGCTAATGAACAACCCAACCGCACTCCACAAACTGAGGCACGAAATCGACACTGTGGTCGGATCGAGCCGACTCGTCATGGACTCGGACGTCCCCAACCTCCCTTATCTCCGAGCCGTGATTCGAGAAACCCTACGCCTCCACCCTTCGGCGCCCTTGATCATCAGAGAGTGCGCCGAGGACTGCACAGTGGATGGCCACCTGGTGAAATCCAAGACCCGAGTTCTTGTCAACGTCTATGCGGTGATGAGGGACCCCGAGTCGTGGACCAACCCGGACGAGTTCGCCCCGGAGAGGTTCATGGAGGAATCCGAGGAGAAGATTGGGGAGCATCAGATGGAGTTCAAGGGTCAAAACTTTCGGTACCTGCCGTTTGGCAGCGGGAGGAGAGGGTGCCCTGGCGCGTCTCTGGCTATGGTGATGATGCATGCCGCCGTGGGTGCTCTAGTCCAGTGCTTTGACTGGAGAAGCAAGGATGGGGAGAAGTTGGATTTGAGCCCTGGACCCGGGTTTGCGGCTGAGATTGGTCAACCGCTTGAGTGCTATCCCGTGACACGTATCAGGCCGTTCTAGATAAATTACTAAAGGGGTTTGGTCCAAACTTTTATTTTGCTTTTTGGTGCTTACGGTTCTGAGATGAAGCTAGTGGATATAATATAAGAGTGCTTGTGTCCAAAAGCAGCGACTGGTCTGCTTTGTCTCGTTGTGGGTTTTTCGTACGTAAAAAGTGACCAATGCAATATAAATAAGGAAAATTTTACTATCTTACTTGATAACCCAGGAACATCAGCAACCCACATGCCACATGAGTGACAGCGGAGCCTACTAAACCTGGGGGTACCTGCATACTAACCATCAAAGACTTTGTCCCGGCGCAGTGCCCGACATTGTGCTACCATTATCGGGGAGACTTCGTCTCCTGTACCAAGGGTGCCTCCGGGAACACCAAGAAGGTGGTACTGGGATTCGAACCTGGGACCTTGTCACATCCCAAACTCGAAACCCAGCCCTTTTACCAACTAGGCTATCTTACCATCGGCGAAAATTTTACTATCTTACATATCGACATAAATACATGAATTTGCACCCAAAAATAATAATACGTACATGACATGAGTCTATTTTTATGATAATCACTTGATACTAAAAATGAGGTAGCCTGGATATCTACGGATTAGAGGTTTATCTTACGGAAGGGAGAAATCCTACCAATACTATATACATGTTCCCGTGAGAACATACATAATTCAATAAAGCGAGCTCTCTCTGCAACCCACGGAAGGGCTCTCTGGTCTTTTTGGACCAATCAATTTCTGCCCTGCCAAATGCCAATTGCTATCCGGTACTTCTGTTAGCTTCTTTTTATTTGGGTTATGCTATACTATAATATGGACTTGCTACTTGGACCACTTTTCACAATAAATAGAAATCCGTAAATCAACATCATTAAACCATCCAAACTACTAATCAAATTTAATTCATCCAATAAATATCCAACTAATACAATCCATTTAAATCCAATTCATTTTATCCAAATTCAATTGGATTCCTGGATCTTTGGTACCTAAAATTTTTAGTACCTAAATTTTATATTTGGTACCTAAATTTTTTATTATGAAACTTTAGTACTAAAACTTTTCAAAATTTACATATTGGTCCAATGTTTAGATGTCACTTGAATTCATGATCAAATCCACCAATCCATAAGATTCAATCTAAGAATCACCGGGAGAAGCTAGGGTGCTAACTTCATAGCAGTTAGCACCATCCTAACTCCTTTAATCAACATCCATTAATTATAAAGTAAATCTGACGGTGATGTGCAGTGGAGGGTATATTATGTATTTTAAAAAATTAAAATTAATTAAAAATATGAAGTTTGAAATATATTTTTTCTCTCTGTAATAATGATTTGCTACGTTAAAAAATAACTGTTGAAAAAGCACTACTACTTAAATTAGTAGTGATTTAACTTAGATGTTATAGTGATTTTATAACAGTCGATAGTGGTTTTATTCCAATTGGTAGCTTTTTTTATTTAGTAGTTAATTGTTAATATTTAGAATGAACACTAATGAAAATGAAAAATACTACAAATTAACAAATAGTACGCTAACTATACAAAATATTTCAAATAATTATCCAATATCACTGCTAATTACAATAAAAATCACTACTCATACATATAGAACCACTACTACACAAACACTACCACCCAAAATAACTACTCAATAGAAACAATCTCGGCGCTAATCTCATTCCCACAGCCAAGGATATTGGAATTCCATCAGCGCCGTCACTTCCCTGGGTTTGTAACCCTAGCAGCGCCGAAGCTTCCCCAAGGGGTTATAGCAGATCTATAAAGGTTCCCGTGGTGATAACAGATCTGGCCTGCGAAGGATAACGGTGATGATGGCGGAGATGGGAGACTTAACGTACGTCGGCCGGAGAGATGTGATGATAGTTTCTTTAGCGGATCTGGACACCAATGGAACGCACGATGTTGTCGTCGCTGCCGCTTCCGCCTAGGCGAGCCTTGATATGAAACTCGCTCGACCTCGGTTGTTGGCATAGACGAAGATGGTGGAAAGGCTAACGAAATAGGCGACGGGGACGAAGGTTCGAGCGGTGCAACGCTGGTTCCGGCACTCTCATTGCACAAGAGACGAGGCAGAGTGAGGAGTTTGTTCGTGGATGAGGTGTGGGTTTGTGGGAGAGGGGAGGCGGTTAAATAGTATTTATATTAGGGTTTGGGTGGTATTAACTAAACTGTCCTCGATTTAATTTTGTTCATAGGATTACTTTTTAATCTAATGACTATTAAATTAGTTAGGATGGTACTAATCCTTTAAAGAGTTAGTACCCAATCCCATTCCAATCCATTTGTTCCATGGATCTACCAATCAAATCCATCACTCCATGGACCCAATCCATTTGTCACCTCTATGACCATGTCCAATTTCCAAAACACGAGGGCTCTTCATGCGGATTTCACTTTCATGTCACCGTGAACTCTCATGAAACATATTAGAAACATATTAGAAACAAGAAAATTCAACTAAAACCCTCAAGATGCAAACTCAGAGGTATAAAGGATGACAATCAATAAAAAAATAAAATGATAAAAATACATTTCTAATGGTAAACTAATATTTTTTTAATAATTAAATTGCATTTTTTTATAAGGGGGGATTGGAGGGGCAGAGAATGACTTGGTGGGGGCAGAAAACACAGGAGGAAGGGGTGAATAACTACTATATACAGTAGTTATCATAATACTTCTAATATTTATGTTAGCCTGATGGTATAAGAGGTGTTTGCACCCTATCCGGATCCACCGGATAATTTCAATATAATTTTTGAATGTGTGGAATGATTATTTTTCTATTATTTTCAGAATTAATATATGATAAGGTTAAATTAATAAATATCCACGTGACGTAGTCAAACTGGCCGATTGACTATTTGTCACATCAGTGAAATTCACCCAACTCAGCAATTAAGTTGTCATGTCATCATCAACTAACAAGATGTTGGATGAAAAGTTAACGATTCGATTGTTATATTGTATTTGGAAAAGTTTAACTATTAGGACTTTGCTACGGTGACATGCATGTCACCGTAACATGCACTTTTCGGTCGACCTAATATAGGATTAAATCGACCTAATTTGTTGTTTCAGAGAGTGGAGAGGTGTGGGAACTCCATGAGTTTAGCTTCTATTTTTTGTTGTTATGTGGGTTTCGATTTCATGAAGTGTGTTTTATGTGAACAATTATGAAGTGTGTTTTATTATGTTTCTTGTTAGTGTGTTACGTTGTTATGTTAAGACGTTATGGTCCTTGCTATCATGATATAAGAGTAATTCCAATGACTATCAAACGTAATTTGAACGATCAAACGAACCACCCACATCGACATACATATGCAAAAAAAAGTCGAAGGTCATAGGCTAAATTTCCTTAATTCGGTCGACCTCTTACTATATTCGGTCGACCTCGAGACCAACACTCGATCTTCATTTCACGTCAAAAAGGGATGGATAAATGGATAAAGCACTTTACTCTTCTGTCTGGTTGACCTCTTTCTGTAAATGGTCGACCATTTTAGTAATGACCACAATCAAGTGGTCGACCTCGTTACTTTTACGGCCGACCAGTTTGCTTCAGACTACAATGAAAAGGGCGACCCATGTTTTATTGTGGTTGACCGGTAATGCCACAACTTAACTCAAAACGGTCGACCACAACATTTAAAGGTCGACCGTGATAAGTCATCATATTGCCCACATTAGTGTATTCGGTCGACGGCGATTAGGAATAGGTCGACCGAAAAGTGCATGTTACGGTGACATGCATGTCACCATAGGCACACCGTCTAACTATTAATTTACCTAATTCAAATGGTTTGGCTACTAATAATTTTATTTAAATATTTTCTTTTAAATTCATTCATTACTTTGTTCAGTGTATTATGATTAAAGATTTTGAACCACCTAAGCAAAATGACTGATCATAATGAGGTGGGTGCATAAAACACCATCTAAATCTCGAATTAAATAAATTTTTGGAGCATTGTACTATTCTCTAAACCCTAATGAGTAAAATTTGTTCTGACCTAGGTTTTTGGGTAATAAACTCATATAGTAATTCATTTGGGTAATTTGTGAAGTATGAATTTGATTTATGGTTGCGATGTATGTAGTAATGAATTTGGGTCATATATTTTAAACAAATTCACACAAGTCATTACCGCTATGAAACTTAAATGAAGTGGGATTTGCACTGTGTTGATTTGTAAGTGACTAACCTGAGTGATCAGTGTTCACTATTGAATGGAAACATATTTGAATTGCTCCTCGACAACAATTTGCTTACTAACATATTGATGGGACTCCATCAACTTCACTACAACTAAACCAAACTTTTGGATCTCCTTGGTATAAATGCTAACAATTTGCTTTCTAACCGGTGGTGATGGTCCATAGATGATGTACTTAATTTGCTGAATAGTCATAATTCTCTATCCATTAATCCGCCAATATTATTGGTTGAACTCCTAACATCACATGACTTTGTTCAATGAAACTGCTCCATGGTTGACTGACAAATTCAATATATGATAGTAGTTTGAGTTCATTGTTCAACTAACTATTGGCAACCAATTTGCAAATTGTTCTTTCTCATTGATATAATGTAATTCCAAATTTATACTTCTTGCGATGATCAACAACAACGATGACTTGAGAAAAGTATTTCATGGATGTTCTAAACTTCATCAAAGGACAAACATCTTTTTATTGCCAAGATCTCATTAAAAGAAACTCTTACGTTGTTCTTTACCAACTTTTCATATCAACAATACTTTTTTTTTTGCAAAAATGTAGTTAAATTAGAGAATGAATATAATGTATATATTAGGTACATGTATTCTATTTTTGACATTTTATTTATACATTGTTTGGTATTTAATTTTATTACTTTTTCTCTAAATTATTCATTGGCAACTCTCAAAAGAAAACAGTCACCCAAGCTTTTACAATATATAGATAAAAATGAACTACTTGCTTATCACACTAATACCTCTATTTAAATATCAAACTCTTATGCAAAAGCAAAACAAGCCATACTCTTCCGCCAACGAGCGGGGCCCTGTGATAGTATTAAATATTGATGTTAACTACGCTTATGTGTTCTTTGATCACTAATACAAGAGAATGCTTCCTTGCGGGGGAATCATATGTTGTACATGATATGTCATACG